TAACAATCGCAAAATCCTAATTACCTTAAAAATAGTACATTTCTTTTAGGACGCCGATCGATCCCATTACATCCGTAAATTGTAAATTTAATGGACCATGTGAGGTTGGAGTACTAAGTCTTGCAAATGACGGAAACCGGTAGATACAACATAAAAATAAGTAACAAATGGCACTGGCACACATAACTGGAATTGTTTGCTAGAAGACGTTACTTCGAATCCGGCCTGATCAAAGGAATTTTTTCTAAGTGTTTGATCTCTGTATTAATAATTATAACAAACTAGTGGAGTAATTTCACAAAAAACAATTGAGTATCCATTCAATACAAATTTAATTACTGATAATGCTGTAAAGTTATCTAACTGGGTGACGAAATACTTTCAAAGATTTCTCATAGATGGCGCTACGGCTAAAAAGTCGTTGAGAAAAACCAAATATTAAGACTCGACAAGAAGCACATGGAAAAATTCGTGAGGTCCGCTGGTTATTTCCGTTGGCATAGCATCTGACACGGTTTGCTAGAAGACGTCAGTTCGAATCCGGCCGGATTGAGGGATTTTTTTCTAAATAACAAATGTTAATTGCTATGTTCCTAGTAAGGAATAATCGTTAACACATTTATTATGTCTCATTGCTGGGCATGGATGTCCTCTCCAGAGTTGGGGACTTCACACGTTTCGAAGGATTGTGAACCTTCATCGACGTGCAGGTTTCACCACGATGTTTTCCTTCACCAAAAAGCTCATGGTAAATTTCAAATTGAATTTCGCACATAGATTCCGAGAAATTTAAAGGTCTGTGCTTGTGAGGCAGTAAGTCAAACCATTAGGCTATCACGGTTATGTATAAGATATATAATAATGCGTTATTAATTTTAAATGTTGTTACACCGGTCGTTCGAACCTCCTCGCACGTTCGCAGTTTCAATACAAAGCTTATTAGTCAAATTAAGGTATGAAGGACGGATCCCTGACACTTCCATTTTGGCTAAGAATTTCTGAATGAGTATTTAAATTAATACTGTTAGAAGTGTAATGAACTGTCGGCTACCTTAAACGGATGAACGGAAGCCCGTGATCCAATTAACGCAAGAAACACCTACAGTGAAACACACTTAGGACGTCTCCTTGTTCGTTAACCAAATCACACTTGATGATTTGAGGCTGGATTTAGAAAAACAAGTTTAATGGTTAATTTTAGATACGTTTTTAGTTTTGTTATGACTCTTAAATGCACTGTAAGTTTCTTATTCTTCTAATCAAGTGTAGGTTTCTTTCATTTTAGTACTATATTAGCTGCCAGCTTGAAAGGGTTGTAACCCTAACAACCGTGATCAGGATCACGGCAGTAAAACAGGCAACTTCCGGTCCACAAATTTATTTAACGTGAAGTATAAGGTAAAGTAAAAAGAGCCTTATCGGGTTGTATTATGTTGAATTACAGATATTGGATAGACTGTTATTCGCTCATTATGGTCGATACATGATTTAGATTGATTGTATTATGATTAAACTTGAAAAGAATAAAAAATTAGACAATTTGATTTAGTAGTTCTGTCCGCTATCGCGGTCAAGCAGATACTAACCGTGGTACGAAGGAAAATGAAAAAGCGAAGGAAGATGGACCAATTCAAATTTAAAATTTAAATACAAGCAAAGGAAAAAATGATACGATACAAAAAGGTGAGAAGACGGTGTAAGGAGATCACACGGTCACAAGCTTAGGCATATATATATACATTTCAAAATTATATTTCAAAGTCAAGTAAATAATCATTTATTCCATAGGTAAATAAATTTACACTTGAAGATGTAATTTTTAGCTACTGTTCGTTTATTCTGCTGACTTTGCAGAGAAGAACCAGCTAGAAACTCTAGGGATTGCTCTTTTCAATTGAACTTATTTGAGTTAGCATTTGCTATGGAAAATACACTATGAGTCAAATTTGTGTGGAATCTAGAGCCATGTCGTCATACCATATATCTTTATCTAACAATCTTCAATTGTGCAATATAACTTTTCAGTTAGGTATATTTTTAATGTAGGTTTTAAACTTAGAAAACGATAATCTTAATATATGCTTCAGAATCTTATTGTAAAAACATATACTATATATGTTTTTACAATAAGATTCTGTACACTGTAACAATAAGATAGCTTCCCATAAAAGAATCGTATACCTTAATTAAACGGAATCGTAGTGATATGAGTTTGAACTTAGTTCTAATGTTAATATTATAGCTATCTTCTTGTATAACGAAATTATGTATAGTTTCAAATATTTTTTTTAATCACAGTGCAAATGTGGCATCACAGTACAAATGTACTGTGATGCCACATTTGCACAGTCATGATACCAGTTTCCTTAAACTTTTCTCTGAAGGAAACCCGAGAACCTAAACGGTAAAACATAATCTCAGAACAGAGTACTAAAACAACCGACCTCAAAAGTACGTGAAATTACATATAATTACCAAGTTTTATTGAAATCGGTTACCGGAAAGTGAGCAAACCCGGATTCATCCCCTAGTTCGTCACTATACGGGACTTGACATAGGAGATAATGAAAATCGGTTCTTACTACTCAAAGTATATTGAGAGAAAAACGCCTTGAATTGGAGAATAGCAATATCAACCATTAAAATAATTGCTCCTTATAATAAAATTTAGTCGCTATTTACAAAAATGAATCTTCATGCGTGAATAGCCACCCTTAAAGGTGAATGATTTTCTTCAAAATTACATGGGACCACTATGGAGGTACCCTCTTTCGAACAAAAAAGAATCATGAAAATCGGTTCACAAATACCGGAGTTATCGCGTAACATACGTAAAATAACATATAGTCCAATTGAGAACCTCCTACTTTTTCTTTTTTGAAGTCGGTTAAAAATGAATCGTTTTGCAATACAAATATGAAAATCTTTCATAGATTTCTTATAGATGGCGCTATGACTAAAAAGTCGTTGAAAAACCAAATACAATAACACGACGCAAGCACATAGAAAAATTCGTGAGGTCCGCTGGTTCGTTTCGTGACTTACTTGGTATAGCGTCTGACACGGTAAATTAGAAAACGTCGGTTCGAATCGATCGAAGGAATTTTTTTTGAGTGTTCAATCTTTGTATTAATAATTATAACAAAGTAGTGGAGTAAATTCACAACAAATAATTGACTATCAATTCAATAAAAATTTGAAATACAAATATGGTTTACATGTCTGCCTTAAAAAAACCTAAACGAACGAAAGGCAGGGGGTCTACCCCCTGCCTTTCTAATATTGATTTTTTTTTTTACAAATTAATCAACTTCAAACGTGTGTTTGACAGCTGACACTGTGCTGGTCACTTTATTGAAAAGAAATTGATATTAGGTTTTATACATTTATCTTGTTCGATGTGAAATGTTTAAGTCACATAAATGTTTAGGATATTTAATGTTTAGTAATGTGGATTATTCCATTTATTGAAAGCCAACATTTTGAATTCGACCAGCCTATATAGGTTCCAATCTCGTGGATCATCATTAAACTCTCATGAACCTCCTATTTTTTTTTCGCTGACATGGACCCCTTATAGTTTGGAGTAGACCTCTGGTGGTCGAAACACACCACGTTGAGAATCCTCGTATTATATCTTAATATTAAAAAGTGAAAAAAAGCGTAACCAAATTAACTTACGAATTAATGAGATGGGGAAATATAAATGAAGTAATAGTGTTATATACTTGAAAACCATGGTCAAGTGGCTTGCACACCGGCTTTCATAGTGTCACCATCTTTGAGGTTCCGAGTTCGATCCCCGGTCGGGTGAATGTGGAAAACGAATTTTTCTATATTGTCTCGGGTATTTGTGGTACCGTCCATACCATTTTCATAACACAACAGCGTATGTGATTACTAATTGTTATTATTTATACTATTCTTTTATGTAATACAGACGAAAGCGTAACATCGATCTTACTTGATGTGTGACGATTTGTCTAATAAATGCCTATTCACTCTTACTTTGAATAGCCCTAAATTGTCGCTTTCGGGAAACATTCATACCAGCAGTGTATTTCATTCATTGTCGTGCGTACCAGAAAGCATGAAGTAAAGCGCTTCGCACGAATGGTGGTCAGTGGTGTAAATAAAGAATTTTCCGGACTCTCTAGTAGACTGAAGGAGATGCGGTGAGGATGGAACTCAATTGTAAAGTTCATGAGAGCACACACACTCTCCGAAATATATTGTACCGGTGTGCTAAATATAGTTAATATCCTGTAGTCACGACGTCCATATCGAGCAGTGTGTAGATCAAAACGGATGGACCTTAAGCCTCGACTACCACCAGACACTCAGAAAACTTACACTGTCATAATGTTAAGCTCTATGAAATCTTGATAATGATTGGTCGCAGATTCTAATTTAAAAAGATGTAAAAAATTTCGGATTGTTAACATAATTTAAACATTACCCAGCTAGCCTATCATGAAGGTTCAATACCTACTAATTATAGCAAGATACGACGTTTTGATTTTATAATAAAATTTCATTAAATGTGCTGTCATCTAGCGGAAATAGCTAAAAGACGACGAGCGATTAACGCCTATTAACGTTCTCTAAAAAAATAGGCCTTATTGCAGCGGTATAAGGTTTACTTTCGATTCTTATAACAAAAAAATTATTACGACAAAGAGAAAATGGAAATTTTATTAAAATTAACTAACATATAATACTAATTACCAACGATATAAAACTCCACCGTGAGTAATGGTACAGGTGCGATTATTATTTGTAACGCCACAGTAGCAAAATAAGGCACGGGCAATACCGCGATTTTCAAGGTTTTTTGCGAGATAATTGACACGACTATAGAGTATGGCCGACAAAGCTCAAGTATGCTGACCTCCGTTAACAGGTGACACGTGACACACCCACTAAGTACTCTATTTATTGTGTTTTTAATTACCGAAAATATGAACAGAATAATTATTATCCTATATGTTCCCTCTTACCTGTAAATAGGTTTCCCTCCACTTTTTCTGAACCAAAGCACCATGTAAACTCTGTCTTCAACCGCGTCGGGAGTGACGTCACATGGCAATGACGCTGTCTTGCCCAATACCGCGTCGATGTCCACTGTTGATACTGTAACAATAAAACTTCATTTTAATGTTAAGTATAAATCGATAAACTTATTGGTGTAACTAATTACTGTAGTACTCGTACGGAAACTTCGACGACTTCGACACGTAATGACGCTTGTTCCAAGTAGGATGCAACTCTGGGTGCAACAGCTAGTGTTTATATGTAGAATTTACTAGGTAAAGGTAGGTACTAAGTATGATCGATATAAAGTACTATTCTAAATGAGGAATTAGTACTAGATATTTACTAAGACCTATATCGATGGTTGTCCTCATGTTCGCGTGGCATTTGATTTGGATTTTTTTTAACAGACTCAAAAAAAAGAGGAAGTTTTTAATTCAACTGTATTTTTTTCATATATGTTACGCGATAACTTCGGTATTTGTGAACTGATTTTGATGATTCTTTTCTTTTGTTGGAAAGAGGCTACCTTAGTTTAAGTCGCATTTCAATTTGAAGAAAATATTTTACCTATAAGGGTGACAATCAAGGGGATGAATCCGGTTTTGAGTACTTTCAGATAACCGATTTCAATAAAACTTGGCAAATAGATGTAATTCCACGAACTTTTAAGATGGGTATCATTTTTTATAAAAAAGTTATTACAATTTAATTTAATTAGTTACATGAGTAGTGTATTCATGACCATGAATTCATAAAATTGCAAAGAAAATTAACAGAAATTCAATATCTATTATAGTTATTGTGTTAGTCCTAATATATTTTTCAATAATAACATGTAATAAAATAACTCCAATGAATAAATCAAATAACACTTTAGGTCTATTCTGGAATACAATGTGAAATTGGAGCGCGCTGGTTTACGTGTCGGGAAGCATTTGGCTCTTACGAGTACGTTTCGCATTATCATAATGCATGCCTCGTCCGGACGGTTCCAGCATTTTACGCAATACACAGATCACTCCCTGAAAGATAAAGAAAAAATCTGGATGTTGTAAGGCAACTTGTCAGAAATTTGCTTCCGTACTCGTTATAACGTACAAGTTTCCCAAATTGGAAATTATACTGCTTTTACAAAATAAGAGTTGAAAGCCGTAAAGCGTGCCATACTCTGCTTCAAACTTATAGACCGAGTTACGTGACACATAGAGAAAGGCGATAAAAAGTCCTAGAGATAGACAAACTAAGGAAAAGCCTATACCCAGCATTGACTGAAATTGATGTGTGGATGTAATAATGTTCTTTAAAAAACATAACATCCAATATTTTAATACAATTGTTACGTATTTTTTTAAATTCGATGATACATACATCTGTGTTAGTAATGTTTGTTAGCGTAAGAGTTATGAATAACCCGATTCTCGAATAAAACATATTGACTGAGGCGGTTTTTCTTTTCATACGAGCGCTTGTTTTGGTACTGTTTAATAATGCTCGCATTCGCAGTACAATATTTTTGTTGCTATCGTATAATCACAGTAATATATACGATAGCATCGAAAAATATAGCAACAATTAAAGTCGATTTTTAATTTGACCTAGCTAAATAAAAAATCCGATCGAACACTAATTTCCAAATAGGAAATTGAATTTTGACTTGATGTCTAATCCCTAAAGTTTGATGTCTCGTTTTATGAACAAAGGAATTAAATCTTATTATCTCTTGACTGAGTTTAGTACCTTGACTACTTAAAATTAAAAACACAAACTACTTATAAAAACACATTATCATAATTTTACCACTCGAAACATACACTGTTTACTTCAATTACAAATATTACTAAACAATAAATAAAGCTCTTGTTTTAATATTTTAACCGTTAATGTATACCAATATATAACTTGACTACATGTAATAATCTTTATTATCTCTTATCAAGGTACTTACATAAATAAGCTTACAAATAGTTAACTTGAATTTTTACTAAGAAAACCTTGGTAAGTGACTGGCATCCATACTAGGTGTTAACCTGTGTTACAACATATAAAACACCTAGCGTAAAAATAATTGAATATGACTATAATGAACACGAGTTCATTGTAAAAAAACCTGCTTTAATCCAAAGTTAAATCTCAAGCATATTCGTTACTTGTAAGGTTTTAATATAACGTAAGAATTTAATATCGTATTAGAAGCAAGATGACAGCGAAAAAGTAATTTATTATGAAAAATACAATAAAATAACATAATAAAATAATAATAACGCACACACTCGACATAGCCCCGCACTAGGGAAACCCTGTGTCGCGGATGCCATGGACACACACATGGACAACCACAAATTACACCCAAATTGACGAGATAAATAACCTGGGACCTCTGCGTGGCAGTCTGGCATGGTAACCGTTCGGCCATGGACGCAGTTAAAATTATTAAACAAGTCCCCATTTTTTAAAATGTTTTTATTAATAGCGTTTCATGTTACCAATCTACGCTGAGCTAATGGACCTATATAAGGTCTATAGCTGCCCAGGCTCAACTAATAACGGTGAATTGTACGAACAAATAGTTTTTTTTTCCATCGGAATTAAATATAGTGCGGGACGGAAGGACTAGTGGACATTGCTAATATTTAAGTCATCATTGAAGTTTCAAGAATCAAAAGTATGATATTTGATTAAATGCCATTCAGTGGCCGCTATAATTTTGTAACGCTACCGTATTCATCAAAATCCGAATATCACCTCCTTCTGGCGCAGTCAGGTAAAACTGATAAAATTTTCTGAAAAGGTGTTTTGGTAATATAATGTGCCACACAACCACACCGATTACCTGGTCTGAAACTAGAGATTTCTCAATGCTACGAGTACCAGAGCACCTAGACCAGAACTAATTTAGAAAATTTCGTTACCTACTTTGTTTGGTAAGTTTAGACCGAGAGTCGAACCCGGGACCTCTAAATCAAGCACCCTTAGTGCTAATCGCTGAACTACGAGATTTGTCATTGGTATCTGAAGAATCCACATTGTTTTGTTTTTGTCTGTCATACGTCTTCTAAATTCATAATATCGCACAACTATTAGTGTTATAACTCCAAATATGTGAAAATCAAGATTAAACCATTGTTGAACGTAAAATTTGATTCTGTACACGTCAATAAAACCGTCGTTAGAATATTGTAAAAAACAACTAAAATATGTCTATTTAACTCAAAATAAGACGCGCTTAAGTGAGCTAGTTCTGACCAAAATAGTCCTTATTCAAAAACATGAAATTATTTATTCTCTTTTATTTTTAAATATGTATATCTGGTAAGTAGGAAATAACCTATACGCTAGACTTACACAGATGTTTCACGGGAAGCGAGTAATTCGTTTCTCGTCGATTCTGAGAAAATACACTTTATGAGTTAATACACTATTGTATTAACAGTGCGATATATAGAAGCCAGGTAGAAGCTTATAGATTATGTGAGCACCAAAATTGATTAAGCCTGACTTAGATAAGGTTATCGGCTATATACGTATACTAAATATTATACGTACAGTAAACAGAATTACTTTTGTTAAGTATATTTGTAGACCATTCGTGTAATCTATTATCAACCAAACTGGAGCTGAAAGAGGCAGTGTTTCAACAACCAATAGTAATTCGTTACTTTTTCTAAGCGGCGGGGAGATGTCAAAATAACAAAATAGTGTTGGTTGCTGAAATATTTTCTGCTTCGCTTTGAAAAATACTAGTAATAATATGACAAACAACCGGTTACTTGGTCTCCGACTAGGAAATTCCCTGTACTATGATTATATACCAGGTGAACAACGAACTTAACTCCGGGGCACTACTCTTAAAACACCGAAACCGAAACATTCACATTATTATTAGTGTATTCTGTGACTTTTTCAAGGCATTTGATAGTGTGCACCATGATACTTTGTTCAGGACACTTCGCCATTACGGTGTACCAAGCCAAGACCTTGATTTGAGTGATAGGATTTAGAAGGATCTATCTTCAACACTAGTGTGGGTGTCCCTCAAGGTTCAATTCTACGTACAGTTTATTTTAGTTTATATTAATGACTTAGTTAGCTTCATGAAGAGTATAGAACATGAGAAAGTATTGTTTGTTCATGCTCTATACTCCTTATGAGGAAATTCCTGGAAATCTGCCTTACAAATGAGTAGTAGATATTAATCGATGTGACGATTCCAAGTATAATTTGTTTCTCTGTGAAGTAAAAATATACTTGAGTTTGCGTTAGAATATATTTACAAAAGTTTTTTGACAAATTAGTTCTACCTATATAGCCACCGAAACCATTACAAATGTTTATAGGGTCCGTTAATACTTTTGATATAGATGACAATATCGAGGTTCTGCTGTATCAAGCCATATGAGTTCTACTAGCCCAATTGCAGATTAGAAGACACGAGTCTCTGTTGTTGTTATCAATACAATAATAATGTTGTTACAAAACAACGGTTTAAATGGTAATACTACGTCGGAAAGACTCAATATTAATGTCACTAAGCTGTCTGTCGTGTTAAACGGTTACTCTACTTTTCTTCAATACACTGTAAGTGTTCCACTTGGCAAGGGTACGCAATATTCAGCGCGAAATCAAAATGAACACATTACAATGGCAATTCAGCTGTCGGCGCTTAGTGCCTTTGTTGTCTCAATCGAGTTGTGACTTTATTTACTCGATTTGTCTGCACTTTCCACACGTGTTCACACAGAACAGACATTGATAATATACGTTTGTTTGCAGATGGTTTTTTTATGCTAACTTGGAGAATCAATGTCATTCGCTCGCTTTCACTAGTGCGTAACTTGTTTTCTGTTGAGCGATTACAGTATATTACAGTATATAAATATTTCAACTATTATGTCATATTACCTGTTTCAGTAAAAAATAATGCTCGTAAACATATCGGCATTTTAGTACCTGTATGAACTAGGCGGAATATAAAAACCCCAGCAGGCTGTCTTATTTTTAGCATTTGAAAAAAAAATTGAATATTTCTCACACGTACGTAACAAAATGATTTTATATAGACATATCGAAATTCAAAATTCGGGTTATCATGGCCTGTA